ACAATATGGTAATAAGTGTACTCATAATGAAATTATCAGCAGCATGCAGTTTTTAAAATGAACCTTAGTCAGTATCAGAAACTAGACAAATATAAACAACAGCATTTTCTCAGTTTGTTATGATTTTTACAGCACAAGAGTAAAGACCAACACAAAATGGTATTTAAAACAACCTGATATTACAAATTCAGTTCATGGATAAAGAACTTTTTAGATAAACATATAAAAGACTAAAACCTTAAGAGAATTAGGTGGTCCATTCTACTTGAGCCTAATAGCATATCTTAGGTTGTCCTTAATCAGATTATCTTTAAGCCAGTTTAGTCTTTTTATACCATGCCATGAGGCTTCAACTCTAAAGAGGAAATAATTTTAACTCAGGCAAACATGGAACTTTGTCCCACTGAATTCTAGCTGCCCTAAGTATCTTTTTATTTCCATTATCTTTTGTGAAATTACTTTTTTTAGGTAAAACCAAGGCATAGGATAAATTAATGGAAATCTAAAATTGAGACCAAATTTAACCATATGACTGTTAAATCAAGCAGGATTTTCATGAGACATAATGATATTTGCTTAACTCAAAGGATTGGAGAGGTGCAAAATGAAAGGCTTAGATTTAAAATGAAACCTATTATGGATTAAGAGAAGGGTTTAATTTAGGTTGTTTTCTTTATATTTAGCCTTGCATGGTACCTTAAACAAATTAGTTATAAAAAAAACTCTGATTGGTGATAATGAGAACAGATTATAAACTTCATTGGTATGAATAAAAATCTAGTAAAACTGAAAATGTTCTCAACTATCCAAACCAATCATTGAAAGTAAATTAAAAATTGTCTATATTATTTATCAGGAATACAAATAAGGTACTTAAATGACTAGCATCTTCCAAATAGATTATTTAAAACATTAAAAACATGTTTTTAGTTTACTTTTTCCCTATTATTTCCTACTTAGATACAAGTTATCATTTCTTATATAACTGCTAGCTGATGGGCAAACAAAGAGCACCTTCTAAAATCTCCATTAGTAAGTTACATTAACTGCTTATTTTTGTTCTGAATATAGTTATCAAAGGTCAAAGATTTTCATAAACACTGAGAAGAAGAGACTAGCGTGGTTGCCACAAGGAAAGAGAGAGGATGCGCCAATCAGGTGAAGGGGAAAAAATCAGAATGTTTACTATCTTGATCTGAGTAATGGTTACATGCACGTATAGACATGTCAAAATTCATCAAGCTGTACACTCAGATTTGTGCATTTTTTGTATGTATATCAGTTAAAGAAGAAAGTCGAAGATTTTTTTCTTTATACCCAATTTAGCTTTATTTCCTAGTATAATACTCATTTTCTAAGCCAGGATTCTCACCTGGCCCTGGTCAGCTAGCTCACTACACACGTGTGGGCAATACATTGTTATTGACTCTATATAAAGAGCTCCACCCACTGCTCTGGGTGACATGGCTGCTGCACGGCTGCATGGCTGCAGGAGAGCAGAGGCTGGAGTGGTGGCAGCGCCAAGGACAGAGACTGAGATGGCTGCAGGGGTAGAGAGGCCCTGAGGCAGACACCGGCTTGCTGCATGCAGACTCACTCTGAGTGTATTGGATACTAGTGACTGATCTACCACCGTGGGAATAGTTGGGTATAAACGCTTTACCCCAAGAACGTTCTACTGTAATTTCTTTGGTCTCATTGAATCTATAGTGAACTTGTCTGGGGTGAAACCCACTGGCAAGACATTAGCACATAAAGATAAACTTGCACTATAGGTGAAGCGTTTGGCCACTTAAAATCCAAGAGGAAAAAAGAAACTAAAGCAAGTGGCAGGTACATGTTCCAGTGTGGAGAGCTGATATGACCAAATCATAGTTTAAATATAACTTTTGTTGGGTGAAAATTTAATGAATATGTGGAAATGGAAGAAACTCAGAAATCATAGTTATTTCCATTTTAAATGAGGATGATCCGTTCTGTACCACCAGCTGTTTATAGTTCACTGAATGAGGATCCACTTGATAGAAGATAATTATGTCTTCCCTAAAGGAAGCAAGTGTTTCTCATCCTGCAGACACCTCTGATGAATGGCCATGGGAGTATGAGACCAAGACAATATGCCAAGATCAGTTTTGTTTTTTAATGATCTCTTTAAACACTTGATTTTCTATTTTTTCCTACCTAAATGTAGGAAAAAGTGCACCTTAAAATATACAGAATCAAGTCACATACTGTTATTTAGCTTTTATAAAACACCTTAATCTTGAAAGGGAAGTAGAATGACTACACAGAAAGTATACCATCAATAGTATTAGAAAAGGAAAGGCATGGTCAGTTCAACTTCAAGCATTTTGAAGTTACTTAGTAATCTGATGCTTTCCCCTAAAGACTATTCTATCTTTAAGTTCCTTGTCAATTAATGATGTCCCCAATATTCCAGTCATTTCAGGTCTTTCACCTACTTGGAAAGGCCTATCAATTCTATCTTCCCAACCTCCCTCAAATGTGTCTCTTCACTTCCAATGCCAACTACCATATGCCTCAGTATTTCTCACTCTCAGTATGGTCCTCTTGTTCTAAATGATCTTCTGGCTTCTACTCTCTTCCAATACTAAACCAGTTTAACCAAGATACTATTTTCAGATAAATATCATTAAAGTACCACTCTCATCATATGACTCTTATGTGTAAAAACTTTTCAAAAGCAGGTTGTGCCTCTGTCTTGCCAATGGATTGCAGCCCAGGGCAAGTTCACTATAGATTTAATGTGACCAAAGAAATGACAGTAAAACATTCTTGGGGTGAAAGGGTTATACCCAATTTTATTTCCATGGTGGCAGGTCTATCACTAAAACCCAATTCACTTAGAGTGAGTCTACATGCAGCAAGCTGGTCTCTGCCTCTGGGCCTCTGTTCTCGGTGCTGCCACCACTCCAGCCTCTGCTCTGTTCTCCTGAAGCCTTGCAGCCATGCCACCATGTCACCCAGAGCACTAGGCACAGATTTTTATATAGAGTCAATAGCAATGTATTGCCCACACGTGTGTAGTGAGCTAGCCATCCAGGGCTGGGTGAGATTCCTGGCCACAAGAACTTTCATTTTACCCACAGCCTCAAAAATAGAAAAAAGCTTATGGTTTATGCAGGGAAAATAGAAGTTCCTATGGGCAGGATCCTCACCTGACCCTAATCTACTTGATGATGTAACTGGCCTGCTGCATGGGCACATGCTTACACACCTGTTGGCAATGAGCCATTATTGTCAATGTTACTATATAAAGAGCTCCGCCCAGTGCTCTGGCCAGAGGCAGAGATGGATACAGATTGTGGACTTGCCAAAGGCAGACATGATTCTAGCACTCAACCTGCCACTGTGAGAATAAAGCTTGGTATAAACCCTTTTACCCCCAGCATTCTGTTGTTTTTATTCAGTCTCACCAAATCTAGAGTGAATTTTCCCAGGGCTGAAACCCTCTGGTGAGACAGTATATTAAGCAAAAAAACAAAATTCAAAAGTAAATCAATTCTACAATAAATAACAAGTGTTGGCAAGGATGTGGTGAAAAGTGAATCCTCATATATTGTTGGTGGAATTGCAAGTTGGTGCAATCACTGTGGAAAGCAGTATGGAGATTTCTCAAAAAAGCTAAAAATAGACATATGATCCAGTAATTCCACTAATGGAATTTTACCTGAAGAAAACAAAGTCACTGATCTGAAAAGATATATGAATTCAAATGTTTATCATAGAATTATTTACAACAGCCAAACTATGGAAATAAACTAAATGTCCATCAATGGATGAATGGATAAAGATGATGTGATAAATATATGCAATGGAATATTATCCAGCCATAAAGAAGAATGACATCTTGCCATTTGCAACAACATGGATGGATACAGATGGTATTATGCTAAGTGAAATAAGTCAGACAGTGAAAGACAAATACCCTATGATTTCACATATGTGGAATCTAAAAAACAAAACAAAACTGAGATAGATTCCTAAACACAGAGAACAGACTGGTGGTTGCCAAGGAGTGATTAGGAGGTGGGATGGATGAAATAGGCGAAAAGGACAAAAATTAGCGAGAAAGTTTGGTATCTTGGATGAGGGTGATGGTTATGAGTATAATACTCATATACAATTATGAGTAAATACACATGTCAAGATTCATCAAGCTATATACTAAGATTTGTGCATTTTATTGTATATATCTCAACATAAAAAATTTTCTTAAAGTAAATCAATTCTATCCTTACAAATATATGATTGGATGTACATATTAACATGAACTAGAAGATAACACAAGAAATGAAGAGAAAAAATTTCAAAGGGTCTGGAACGTGAGGCTTATCTTTGATTTGTATTTCCTATTTGTTGTTTTAATGATGTTTATGTAGCAAATACAATCTTTCAGCAACCACTGACTGAATAAAGACCTCTGCAAATCCAGCTCCAAACCTACTTTTTCCAGCTTATTTTCTAAACTTCCTTTTCACACAACCCAAAATTCCAGACAAACTAAAATATACTATTTCCTATTGGGTTGTTATATTGCTCTTTTCTAGCTATGAACCATTACTCACATCAGATGTTCCAGTTAGTATGATTTTCTCCTCAACTTCTGTGTATCTAGATCCTACCTAATTATCCTTTCATACCTCAGTTCAAATAATACCTTTCCGACAAAGCTTTCCCTGACATACCTTCCTCCAATGAACATTTCATCTGTATCTCTGGTATAAAATGTAGTCTGTGTGTGTGTATGTGTGTGTGTAAGAAGTAGCCCCTTTTAGGACAGGACCTTGTTTTAGACATCTTTGTAGTCCACTTAAGGCACACCATAGTGTCTTTTTGAACAAGTATGTAAAATGAATGAGTAAACACTCAAAAAGCAAAGGATAAGAAGACTAAAACCTAATAGCAACTCTTACTTTTAGTTTTGTTATATTTCTTCTTTTTTTGCTAGAGTTTATTTCTTAACCTAATCTTCTTACCTGAAGATAGGTTATTCTCCGCTGAACCAGCTCTGTCAGATCTTTGGCCTCTTTTTCCCGCCAATCACCTGCTCCATCTGTTTGACTGAGGTAGTATAGATCTGTCATTATAGACCTATAAAAGCAAACAACATTGCAGATCTAACTTATTTGTACTTCATCACAGGATTACACAAAGACATAAGAAGAAAGTAAAATTCTTCATAATGTTTGAAGTTCATGATGCTGGTACTCATTTTTTATTTTCTATCAAAACAGTTGAAGTCAACAGTTAGTTTCCAATATACAAGATTCATTCTTATAATAAATTTTTACTGTTGAGAAAAACATACCTTTTTCCCAAATAAGGCCAGTTAGCTGTTCTTATTTCCCAAAACAAAGCACAACAGATATCAGAGGGAAGTGGATATCCAGGGCAAAGAAACAGGTATAGATAAATAAAAGGGAGAAGCTGGTGCTAGTATTTGAATACTACAATTTATTGTCTCTTATTTTTGTTCTCTGCCATTTCCTGTCCCCGTTTACATTTTCTCTTCATACTTAAATACTTGGGGTAGTTGCAAAAAAATAAAGAGGAAAATTCTGACCTAAATCTCAAACAATGGTCTAAGCCAAGGTTCAGCAAACTTTTTTCAAAAAAAAATCCAAATTGTAAATATTTAGGCTTTGTGGGCCTCTTGCTTTTGTACTAGGAAAGCTGCCATAGACATGTAAATGAGTGGGTATGCCTTAAATAAATAAAATAAAACTTTATTCACAAAAATAAGCTATCAGCCAGATTTGGCCCTTGGGCCATAATTTCCCAATTCTTGGTCTAAACTAATAAAATGATTGATAGGACACTTTTCCACTTTGTGTTGCATCATTAATTTCAATTATAATAGCCCAGATTTCCTGCAGAGTAAACTAAAATATTCAGTAAACTAGGGAGAGAAACTTTAGGTCTGGTGCAGATAGTCTTATTTATACTGCATTAAATAAAAGCTATGACTTGAATTTATCAAGAGAAAAATAAAAAGAAAGATTCTTCTCTTTCTCTAACATACCCCACAAATATAACAGCAAACATTTAGCCAATTTCTGGGTATGTATCACCACTGGTATTGCTACTGAGTGACCATCTTTTCTCACCTGAATTATTACAGTAGCTTCCGACCAGGTCTCCCAGCTTCCACCCTTTCCTACCTCTAGAGTCTATTCTCAATATAGCAGCCAGATCCTGTTAAAATATGTAAAATAATGTTACTCCTTTGCTCTTAACATTGAATGGCTCTTCATCTCACTCAGTCAAACCCAAAGTTATTACTCTGACCTGCAAGGCCTCAGACAATATAGCTCTTTAATGCTTCTTTGATCTCATCTTCCATCACTGTCTTCCTTGCTTATTCTACCTCAGCTACAGTCTTGATACTAACCCCTGCACATGTCAGGCACCTTCCTACTTCAGGGCCTTTGCATTTGCTCTTCCCTCCCTTTGAATGTTCATTTCCCAGATACCCATCTACATGGCTCATCCAAATGTCCTTAAAATCTTTGCTCATATGTCACCTTTTCCTTACGGCTTTCCCAGACCTTCTCACTTCAAAATTAAACACCCAGTTACAATCACTACCCTTTGGTTTTCCCTGTCCTCCTTCCTTGCTTTATTTTTCTTAAAGCAATTACCAACCTCTAATTAAAAGAAAATAGTAATTTATCCTCTCC